ACAAACATTAACATGGTTCAAAATGGTTAAATGGTCCTGAATAAATAGTTACACGTGTATTGTTCGCAGTCAATGACTGCATTGGAAATGAATGAACTTCTTCTAGTGGAAATGTTTGCTACTGCATCCAAACAAAATCAATCCCAAAAGAAAACATTCTTTTTTTTTGTGATATCTACCTCAAATTTGGAACACAGCTTGTTTAGATTTCTGGCTTTGATTTTATTGCAGTTTTAGAGTAAAACTATATATATATATATATATTTCATGTAAAATTTCTTTTTATTTATTTATTTATTTTATTTTATTTTTTACATTTTTAATAATAATAAACTTGTATAATTTTAGTTTCCCTTTAGCAATAATAATCCCTTACGAAAATTAACCATGGTTTTATTGTTACTATAGTTAAACCATGGTAACCACAAATTAACCATGGTAACGATAGTTTATCCATGCTATTTGCAGTAAGGTTATACAAATAGTAATCAATGTCAAAAAGCATGGTTACTACACATTTACTATAATAAAATCATGGTTAATTTTCGTGAGGGATGTGCCAAGCGTTTTCTTTAAAAAGAGACCAAACTTCAGTCTGTGCTCCAAAGCATTTAAGATTTACCACAGATTCAGTTTCTAAAGAAATGTCATTTTCAGGCCTATGCTCAAAAAGTGTTAATGGATCATATTCATAAATATAATTTAGTACCATAAAATCTAATTGATCGATCAGAGTTATTGATCCGACCGCAGGCTAACAGTGTGTGTTTTACATGATTGTGTTAAGTTCCTGTTGCTAATGCGTGTGTGTGTGTGTGTGTGTGTTTCTCAGCCGTTATCGTTCCAGCGTCATTAGGAGGAAAGAGTCGTCCTGTACGACGGGCACAAAGAGGACAGGAGGAGGAAAAGAGCGGCTGATTACAGAGAGAGAGAGGGTAAATAAAGCAGCTTTACTGCAGGGGAATAAGAAGAGGAGAATGGAGGAAGAAAGATAAGAGATAATGGAAGCTCTGCGGCAGGCGGACAAATGAAAAGTGTCTCGCTGTGGCTGTGAGGAGTCGTTTCTGAGCCTCGCTGTTCATTACCTGCTGCTGAAGCTAGTGAGCTGCCGACACACGGTGCATACTAACTCAAACTAACCTCCAGACACGGCAAACTACCTACAGAAACTGCACACTTTGAATCTGCCCTTTCTAGTTTTTCATGAAACGTATGTGTAGTTACTTCTCTCAGCTCAAATGTTTTTCACTGGAATTCATTACAAAGAATAAAAGTATGTTGCTTTAGAATTTGACTAGCTAGTTTGTTTCCACAACAATGCATCGTATTATGGTGGTTAATCAGCGAGTTATGTCGTTGTACGGGAAACGCAGCCCAGGTTGATGTGTGCGCGCCCTTACAAAGAATTCCGCTCTTTATGATGTCATGCAGGGCCATACTCGAAAAAAAACGTTCCGAAACTTATACACTTCCTGAAGGAGTGTATTTGGCACAGAAATACTCCGTCATACGCCCAACTCGTTTTTTGAAACATGTTTAGCATGAGAATCCAACTATTTAACAGTGTAAATAAGTCAGAATGCATGAAATAGCATTAGACCCCCACTTTAAGCACATGAAAATGCGCTCTGTTACTAGGAGACACTTGACAAATGAAAACATGTGTTCTAAAATTGACTGAAAATATCAAACATGTTTGATCTCCTCCGACTGGATGGAATCATAATCTGAAGCCTGTAAACGTCCTGAGTCTGTGACCATCATACACTACGTGATAACAACTATTGAATAACTATAAAAATAGACCTACAAGTATATTTATAGTCAGCATTACTCTCAAATTTTTTGCCATGATTTTGCTACTGTACAGTGCATTCTGGAATTGTCATATCAATGCAGGATATATGCAATGATTCCTTTAGACTTAAAAAAAAAAGAGGAATCTTAGAAGGCAGCAAGGCTACGATTCTGTCTAGTTAGGGAGCTCTGTGGGATCTGAAACAGAGCCCGTGTGTGAATGATAAAACACGCATGTCTTCAGAAGAGGAGAGTTAATCAAGACTAAGTGTGGAGTATTGATCTGCATGAACCAGTCAGAGACAGAGAGAGAGAGAGAGAGAATAAAGCAGGAGGAGAGGAAATCATCCTTCTGGTAATTTATTTAATTATTATTTGATTTACAACTACGCTTACTCAAATAATTCAACATGCATGTGCATCAAATGCATGACGCAAATGAACATGCAAATGCATTACAGCGTTTGATGAGATAAAGAAATGAGCTCCGTACTGCCTAACAACACCAAAAATCATCAAATAACAGTTTCACCATATCCTTCAGACATGATGCAGCAAGTTTCCAGAGACTAATCATTTTTCTGTCCTCGCGAAAAGACAAAATGCTGCAAGATGCAACACAATCACAGAGACAACACAGAATTTCTGAAAAAGAAAAAAAAAATTCATAGGGCCCCATTATTTTACATATTTTAATAAATTGTTACATTGTTAAAGTTTTACCAATTCAATTGATTAGACACACTTGGATATTAAAATGTAATTAAACCATTAAAACTGAATCTAGAAAAAAAATTGAGAAAAAATTAAATGAATTTCACTGGGCCCTAAAACAATACTTTTTGTTCAACTTTTAATAAATTGTTGTTAAATTGTATATGTTTCATGAATTCAGTTAATTAGATAGGCTTTTTGATTACTAAAATATGATGTAACCATTAAAATGGACCTTAAAACAAAAAACAAAAAAACAGAATGTGGGGGAAAATATACAAAATGTGGCGACTACCAAAGCAACTTATAATTGCATTTACTACTTAAATTATCACAATAAACTGCCAAGTAATTAATATAGATGCTAAACATGACAGTGTTCTGTCAAAACATCTAGAAAACATCTGGAGAATGTCAGCTCTGTAATTTGGTTTATGTTTTGTGTATGTATGTGGGTCAAAGACAAAAAAGGGTTTAAGCATAAAAACAATAAGTATAATACGACTTCAAATTGTTGTTTTTCACACACACACACACACACACACACACAAAATTCTGTTTAATTTAATTGCAATTTTGTTTTTGTTTTTCTGAGCAAAAAATAAATATCATACATTTTTCCCTGATTTACAGAAGAGACCCACTAAAATGTCATTCAGTGTAACAATCTTGTCAGGCATATTTACAACAAAAATCGATTTATGACATATTAAAAGACTAATCACTTTCACCCCAAATACTAATTAGTTGTAATTTTACATTTTTAAAATTTGCCACTATCCTAGGTTTTGCCCATTTGTCAGTAAGATTTTTTTACTCATTTAAAACACAGTAATATGCTCCCTTATTGTTTTATATATTTTAATATGTACACGTCAGAATAAACATGTTGTTTGGATTTTTACATAAATATTGTGTTACACTGAATGACAATGTAACATTATTTTGACATTTTATTCTCCAAAAACCTTAAAAGTAGACACTTTACTTACATTTAATGTGCTTTCTATGGACATAAAATCACTTTTGTAAATTTCTTTTGATGCGGACATCTTAATGTCTTTGACCCATATACATGTAATAGATAAATATAAACTCATATAACAGAGAGAGTGAAGGAAACACACACACACACACACACACACACTCCAGTTCCTCTTAAATACGCACAAATCTGCCCAGCCTACACATGTGCTGCACTACCTGCTGCCAAAACAATAAACTCATCCAGACCCAGAGAGATCCACACACACACACTCCAGTTCCTCTTAAATACGCTCAAATCTGCCCAGCCTACACATGTGCTGCACTACCTGCTGCCAAAACAATAAACTCATCCAGACCCAAAGAGATCATTGAACAATACAACGACAGTCTCTACCCACACACACACACACACACACACACACACACACGATCCATCAAACAAGTACGACACAGGGCGGTATCGCTGGCAAACACCACACAACCACCCACATTACACACCATTTAAAAGCCCTCACACACACACACACACACACACTCAGGAAAAAACCCTCCATTACATCAAAGGGCGCTTGAAAAAAGCAGTTTCATGTAGAAAAAAGCAGCTTGTCGTCTTTACAGCATGTGAGTACAGACAGAAATGTGTGGGTACAAAGACAGAGATGAATAATAGAGGATCAGCTCCAGAATCCAGTCAACTCCTACAGACTCCAGTTTTAGACAGCAGAGGTGATTTCAATACTTTCAGCTGATTATATTCTAACACTGTATACATCACGTATGCTATCAATCATATGTAGAAATTACATTTGTTACATTTAGAATTTACACTACAGTTCAAAGGTTTGGGGCTGGTACATTTTTTATGTTTTTGAAAGAAGTCTCTTCTACCCACCAAGGCTGCATTTATTTGAAAAATACAGTAAAAATTGTGAAATATTATTACAATTTCAAATAAATGTTTTTATTTGAATATATTGTAAAATTAAATCTATTCCTGTGATGCAAAGCTGTATTTTCAGCATCATTACTCCAATCTTCAGTGTCACATGATCTTCAGAAATCATTCTAATATGCTGATTTGTTGCTCAAGAAACATTTCTGATTATTATCAATGTTGAAAACAGTTGTGCTGCTGAATATTTTTGTAAAAATGGTGATATATAATAAAAGTTGTTATTTATTTATTTATTTTTCCAGTTCCACTTTTGCCTATATTTTCTGGCAAGAAATTTCAGCAAAATATTGTAGTTTGACTGGACTCATAATATATAGGCTATATATATTATATTTAATAAACTTTATTTACATTTTTATTTTATTTTAAATATTGTAAATAAAAATACTGTTTGATTGGACTGACAACCTTTGACCATATCATAATGCGATGTGTTTTCTCATGCTTGATGCTTTGGCTTCTTTTTCAAACTACTTTCATTGGCAAAGAAAAAGTCCAAACTAACTGGCCAATTTCATGAAAGTAGTATTTTCAGAGCAGACCCTACCATGGTGTTTGTTAGTTTGTGCAATTCTTTCATCACTCACCCAGCCC